TGTCCCTCACTCAGATCAGAAATGATCCTCTTGGGGTTTGGTTATCTCCTAATATATCCTAACTTGGTGAATTCGTCTTCTTGACCGTAGGGGTTTGATGCATCATAGTAGGACTAGGCATGATGTAACCGACCGAAGAACTCACACAGACCATCCAATATTCTCGATTAGGATCGTGTAAAGCTAACATGACCACACTGGTGATGATGAGGGAAATACAAATGAATAATTGGGCAAAATATACAATTTCTTTTTGAGGAATATTCTCTCCACAAAATTTCCAATGAGGAGTTACTGAATGAGATCCGTTTGAGGAATCCATGAATCAAAACTAGGGGGATATCCTTTCCACCGAACTTTGACTTCTTGAATGATCTTCTTCCCAACTCGTCGCTTTTTATACCCCAAGATTTCCTCCACTTCGTACACGTCGTCTTTTTTAATGATCTGTTGTAATTCTTTCTCGTAAAAAGTCCCTTCTAATTCCTCTTGGTTGTAATCTTGTATACGATACACGTAAGGATACCGACCGGGAACTCGTTGAGCAATGGTAAATATTTCCGTGGTCCAGTTCGGTAAATATCCTTTTTCAAAAGTGCGTTTGGCTTTACTGATGCGCACCTTATCTCCTGTTTTAAACTTGGGGGGTTTAGGAGAGGTCTGTGATTTCCCATATAAAGTTTTCCAGACTTTTAACACATTCGAGGGCTTCACTTGAGCTGGGGCTTTTTGGATACTGCGATGATACGTATGATTGTAAGCATACACTAAATCCGGTAAGACCTCTAAATACTGTCTGGTTTTATTCCGAGTGAAATACCTCCACATGCGTGCTTTGAGGGTTCTCTGAAATCGTTCCACGATACTAGCTTTGGTGTCCGTATTGCGAGTGGTAAAGAAATGAATGGATTTAAAAGCCTGTAAGAATTCTCGATTGGTAAATTCTTTGCCTTGATCCGATTGAATGCGGACGGGACGTCGTCCGTCTTGTCGGAAAATCTCTTGTAATCCTCGAATCATTTCTTTTCCCGTTTTCTGTTTTAAAGGCACCACCCATGCATATTTAGATAAGACGTCAATGGCACACAATAAAAAGGTATAGTCGTCATTATGTTTCTTTAAACTGGACACATCGGCTAAATCTAATTGCCATTGTTCGTCTATATCCGTCACTCTCGTCTGTTGTCTCCGGAATTTTCTATGAATGGGTTTATGTAAGGTAAAGGTATCTTGCTCTTTTAACCATTCTCGTATGGTGTTCAAAGAAATTTTATGCCCCCAGACTTCTGACCTGACGATACAAAGTCTGTATGCCTCCATACCCTCTCTTGGGATCGTAATAAATCTCTTTTAAAATGTCTTCCACTTCCTTCTTCATTTCTTAGGCAAAGGAAGCCAATCTTCGTCGATTTGTTGTAATCTCTTTTGAAATAGATCTGCTCTGACTTTCTTTTTCTTCTGGAGGGCCTCCTCTAACTTTAAAATAGGGGAAGGCTTGGATTTTATAGATCGACTAATAGGGGTCGAAAAGGAAGATGAAGCATCATGAAATCCGCTCTCTTCGTCGTCCTCCTGGTCACTGAAAGCCCCTTTAGGAGTACTGATTTTTCCCGGTTTTTGCATGGCTTTTATAAGGTTTTGATTTTGCAAGTAAACCATGGGAGTACGGGTCTCTTTTAAAGCTTGAGCAAATTGATCTAATCCTTTAGGAACCGGTTGACTTTTGAGAGGTTTAGATCTCATGCTATCAGCCATTAAATCCACAATGTTAGAATCGGGTACTTTTTGACCTCGATAACTGATTTCTCCGTCTTTATCCCAAGTCAATACTTTGGTTTTCTTTAAATGATTTAATAATAATTCAGCTTTCCTTTGCATGGGTTTATTCACGCTTTGAATGATTTGTTGATCGATCTCGGGATCTGGAGCTGCTGCTGCTGCGGGGGCTGGGGCTGGGGCTGCTGCTGTTGGGGCTACGGGTGCAGGGTTTTTTTTGGTAGTCGTTGGCTCTCTCGCTTGTTGTAAATAATTCCTATACCGATGAAGTTCTTGACCGTATAAAGCCACTTTTTCTTCTGGGGTTAAATCTTCACGTCGTGTAATCTGGTCCAATTCTTGACCTATACTCAGAGTAGATTGAAATTCCGGAGGTTTAGGAAGTTTTCCTTTGAGTTCATTCAACAGAACCTCAGGTACCAACACCATTTTACGACTCATTTTTGTATCTTGTTGTTCCTCTTCTTTATAATTTCTTTATAGATAGAATGTCCGGTATCCAACAGTAAAGGTGCTGCTGACATTAAAAGGGGTAAAAGATTTCCTCTTTTTTGTTGTACTAATAAAGCTCGTCTTTTCTGTATGGATTGGGGTCGGACCAGTCTCCTTAAGATGTGTTTCTTAGGAGCTAGTTTTTGTTTCTGAGCCGAATTGAGAGGTAACACCCCTTTTAATAGGTTGTAGACGATCTCACAAATTTTCATAATACAATCTCCAGAACAATGTTTTAAAATCCCCGTTTTTAAGGAAGAGGAATAGTGAGGGTCTGATAACACTCTTAAAAGAGGGGCATGCGCTCTTAATCGCGTACAACATCCCTTTTTCTTCTTGGCCATCTTTGAAAACAATGAAGAGAGTTCTCCCATGTCACCCCCTTTTATAGTGTCTCTCTCTCTCTTAAGGAGGGGCATACCCTCCGTGTTTGTCGCTCTCGTGTTTATCTCTAGTTTTCTCCCTGACATAAATTTTTCCACAGTATCGACATTTATATCTCAGGCCTTTAGGAAGTTGAGGCGTCGAGGTTGTCAAGGGTTGAAAGCGTGTGATTTTAGGGTAATGGATGGGAACTTTAATTCCAGGGGAGGAGGGAATACCCACATTCACTCGAGGAAACACTTCTAAATCGCTGGCTCTTTGACTGCCTATGGGTCCCATAGCACGATCCATTCTCAGTTCTGCTTGTTTCTTGAGCAACTCTTCTATAGTCTTTTGTCTTTGTTCCTTATAATACTGATTGATTTCGTTTTTTAGACTTTCGGGCATGGATTTACGTTGAGCTAGAGTTTGAGGAGCAGATTTCCTTTTCGCCGCTGTTTTCTTGGGAGGGGCTTTTTTCTTGGGTGGGGCTTTTTTCTTCTTAGGAGGGGCTTTTCTCTTGGGAGGGGCTTTTCTCTTCTTCTTTTTTCTACTCTTTTGAGCTGCTCCTCCGACTCGGACCATCCAAACCGGAAACACTCTTTGTTTCTTATTATCGACTCTCACCACTACACTCTTTAAACGACGAACCCGGCGTTTTTTAGGACTATTCCATTTAAATAAATGACGAATGATGACTCCACCTAGAAATCCAGCTCCTCCGCGTTTTAAAATAGCTGTTTTTCTGTCTTCATCACTAGCCGATTGATCGGCAATGATCTTTAAATCTTGACGATGATGATCGATAAACTTTTGGGTCTGTTTATTGATAGGTAAGACCCCTTTTATTAAATTGCGAGCTCCCGTAGCAAACCAGTTCAATAAGACTTTACGCCCTAATTCGATTAAATGGGTTCGCTTCGCGGGATCTCGTTCCCGCTGTAAACGTCGTAAGGTTCTCACTTAATTTACTCTTGGCCGATGGAGGCATGATGAGATAGAAATGAAAAATGACCCAGAAGAGTGTGAAACACTTTTATTTATACTCTTGAGGCATGTGTACAGTCAACATTTCAAACATTCGACTTCTCAATCGGTATTGGTCTGGGGTATGGGGACTCAAGTCCACGAGAAGATATCCGTGAGGTACCTGGGTGGCTTCTTGATAAGCAGACATCAAATGAGGCAAAGCTAGCTGACGACTCAACACACTGATCTGAGATTTGTCTCTGGGATTTTTGAATAAGACTAAATAATGAGCATTCAAACTAATGGTGCGATGAGAGGCGGCTCGATCAAATAAATTCTGAGTGATGTAAATCACACTGGTATTCCGATGATGCGCTTTGCGGGTAAACCAATCCACAATACATTCGATGGCTTTTCCTCCCATCATGTCGTCAAAAATGAGTAAATGTGGCACACTCAAATTGGCTACTAATTTCTCGTCGTCTTCTGGAATATTACGGATGAAAGATACTTTATCTTTTAAAGAAGTGTAAGCGGGTTGCCATTCCCGATAACACCAGACGATTTTTTTCGGGCATGGGAGTGATCCAGTGTACATTGTTCACTGATGTCTTGACGAATTCTGTTTTGCACGATTTCGAGGGCCGTGCAACAACCATGGTAAACTCTTGTTTCAATTGAAAAGAGGGGAGGGTGTCTCCTCGGAATACATGTTTATCAATGAAAGAAAAGTTGGGTTCAGGGTCCTATTGATAGTTAACACAGAAATATGCGTTTGGACTGTTGAATCTCGGCTCGGCAGATGGGGCAAAAATGAAAGGAAGGAGCACACAAAGCACAGCAGCATACGTGTCCACAAGGTAGAAAAGCGATTTGTAATTCCTCGTCTAAACAAATGTGACATTTTCCTCGAGCCTGGACGTCTGGTTCTGGGTTCAGTAGAGTTTTGATGTCAATTAAAGGTCTATATCCCTGCTTCTCTAAGAACCTGACAAATATACCCATCACCCAGCTTCGTCCTTTTTACTGATTGATGTAAGGACAATTCGGGTTCCAATAAGCATGTTCTGCATAAGGATTGTCCTCAAGATCCCAATTCTCTAAAGTCATTCCACAATGAAAACAGGTAGCGTTATCTTTTACTCCCCTGTAGTAAAACCCAGCTCGAGCTATGTCTGGTATTTTTCCTGAGAGAAGTTCTGGCCATCCCTGCTCAAAAGTAGCTTCTCTCTTTGATAGCTGAGCATACTGGGGATAACGCATGGGTTGGTCTGGCTCGCGACTCCCCATGATTAGAAATGACCTTTGATTTTGAATAAGAATACCTTTTATAGAGAAGAAAAACAACACACAAAACAACAATTCAATTTTTTTTTAATTCAATGTCAACATTGAACATATTAATAACCATAAGGTAAAGTATTATAAGAGGGTAACAATTGTCTCTTATCATACACAATTCTATACTTTTTCTCTAAAGGTTTGGTCAAGACCTCATGATCACGAGTCCTCTGGATTTTGTGGGGATAAAGTACTGTAACTTCCTCTATTTCTCCTTTGAGCATTTTTTCTAAAGTCTCTAGGGACACGATCTGGGAGGTTCGATAGTTGAGAGTGATTCCTTTGACTTTAAGGGTCTCGGTTCCTTTGGTCGTCCGGTAACCATAATTTTTAGGGCCTGCCGACATGAATTTGATAATGTGATCCCCGTCTAATTCGTCGGTCCATTCTCCTAAACTGTTGCCCAAGGTAGGATTAAAGGCTCCTTCCCGATGTTGATAAATGATACTGTCCGTATCGAAATAAAGGACCCGATCTCCTAAAGGTTGTAAAGTCTCGTAGGGGTGTAAGCGGGCATGCGCGGTGGTAAAACAAGCCAGGACCACGTTTCCAAAGGGACATTCTTCGACGAATTCCTGTTTGTCTTGATAATTCACTAGCATCTTGTCCTCATTGGGGTCCTCTTTATTGTCTAAGAGTTGCATGCCCTTGATGTCGAGAGTCGAATCTTGTAAAAGTTGCTGTAATTCCTCTTCTTCATCCAAGTATCTGGTTTTGGGTAATAACAAGCGTTGATCAAATTTTCCCCACAGACAATTTAAAAAGAGTTTAGCAATGGTTCTTCTCACTGGATTCTTCTCGAAACTGAGAATGTCCATCATGAATCCTTCTTTGTATAAGACTTGTCGAATGTAATCTTGTTCTTGTTCTGAGGTCTTACAGTCGGGGGGAAATCCGGACGCTTCCTGTTTGATCTTGAGGAAGGTATCGATGTAGGATCTGAATAAATCCTGTCTGCTTTCTTTAAAATGCCACACTTCGTAGATTCGATCTAAGGTATATCCCATGTCTAGGGCTTTATGTAATTCGGTTGTCACCCAAGTACCCGTGAGACTGCGTTCCTGGTCGGTGTGTTGACATCGATCTTGAGAAGTAGAGTCCTGTCGTTCGGCACACGTGCGACATAAGGGAAATAATAACTTGCCTCCCGTCCGATAAGGTAATACGGGGTGATAGAGGTCTCGGGGAGGTAAGACCCGACAGTGAATGAGGCCGAAATAACTTCTCACGTCCTGGAACTCGTCTGTGATGATCTCGGGATGCCCTACAGGAAAAGGTCTGTGTTTCAACACGTAAGGGTATAGGGAACAAACGTCCACGTATCTAATGTCCCCTTCCTCACAATATAATAGGGTGGCATTAGTCCGGCCTCCGTACAGGGCTTTTCGAGGGTTCAAAGGATCCGGAATGTCCAGGTCTCGTACAAAATGCTGTAAACTCACATCTCTTTGCACTTGCTGATCGAAATCGTGCTCCCAGATGCTACGGACGGTGTACCCCATGTCCTCCAAGGCCAAAGTCCTTCTGATGGTTTCCTCGTGTAATTGTTGGTAAGTAAATTGGGTCCGGTGAGGATGAGTTTCGGTCTGTAAACTGGGATAGCAGGTGGGGCATCCGTGCCAATAGCACCCGTAAAATTCGTAGACGGTGCGAGTCGCTTCTTGGTATCCGTCGACGGTATAATTTCCGATCTGGACTTCGCCCCCGTTTCTGGCATGTTGTATGTGACATCCGGTCTGTTGACTCATCCAGGTGAGCCACCGACAGGCTTTGGCCGAATATTGTCGTGCTGGTTGATACCCAAGGTTAGGAATGATGGCAATGGTTTCTTCAGGCAAGAATTGTCGACGGTAGGCTAAATTAGCAGCACTGGCAAAAGTGATGGATTCCTGGAAAGGGTCCACGTTGACCAAAGTCTTGAGGGTGGCTCTAAACTGTGCACAGAATCGTCGTAAAATGTCGACGTCGGAGATACAATACTCTACAAACTCTTTCTGGAAATCAAACACTTTTCCGGTCTGTTGTTCGTACCATTGGAAAAAGGCCTGTCGTCCACTGATAGACATTTCGTCGGGATTGTAGAAAGCTGCCGGTGGATAAGGTCCCACGTAATTCTGGTTCTGTTCCGTATTAAAAAAGTGGAGGAAATAGCCTTTCTTGAGTTCGGTGAATCCGAAAGCCGAGGGCATCTTGGCCAAAGCAAACGGTAAGAAATTATAAGAGTCGATGAATTTCAGTCCGCATATTTCCATGTACAAGATCTTACTGCCGTTCATGATGACGTTAGGTTTTAGGGGGGCAGAATGCACTAGGTAATTCAAAATGATTTGTCCGTCGTATCCTTTGAAGTTATGGGCGATGATGATGGCCTCGTCGTGTACTAAAGTGGAATTCTTAGTACCTGTAGTGGGTTGTAATAACCAGTCCATGAACTTCTTTAAGGTGTCTGGTCCTTTAAATAGGTGCTGACGAGGTCCCATGTGTTGACAATGAGGACAGGGCTGGTCTATGGGTAAGTGACCGCAATGTTGACAGACGCGGTGTGCCACACACAGATTAGGGATGTGAATGCCGGTTTCCTGAGTGCATTCGAAATCGAAATAGATGTAAAACTGTAAGGTGTTTTTCCCCTTCTTCTTCTTCTCGGGCTTCTGTTGAACGTAGCACTGATGATCGGCATCAACGATTTTCTTACAGATCTTACACTGTTTCTGTCCTCCGCACTTGTGATGAGGGAATAAAATCTTAGGTATCCAATGGACGACACTTCTTGCATCGTCCATTAAACTGCAGACAGTAGTGGTGGTTTTCTTACTATGGGGTCTTAAATGATTTTCATAGCAGGTCCTGTTCTTAAAAATTCCATGGCATTCCTGGCATTGAATATTGCTCCCGTCTTCGGGACATTTAGGGTGTCGTAAACAAAAGGGACAGCGATGAGGGCACTTGGTCCGATGGTCTGTGACATTCCTGTACCCCACATCGCAATGATCACAGTAATATTGGTTCCCCGTTACTCCCGGCATCGATAGGATGGCATCGTAATGATGGTCGTCTAACAAAATGTTCAAATAAGTTCCATTTCCAAAGCCTTTGTAGATAGGTTCTAAACAGAGTTTAGTGGAAGTGGACTTGAACTGAAATATTTTCAGTCGATACTGAGGAGCTAACACCTGTTGTAGCTTCGTCCACTCTGCAGATCCACAAGACTGATTGATATCACACTCGGCCTGTTCCATGAGGGCTATTGCTTCTCGTTTCTGGTCTAAGGACTCATGCGTTTCCATCGTTTTTCCCATTCGGGGTCTGGATGTTCCGGTTTTTGACTGTGTAATCGGTAGACGACGATGGCTCTAGCCAAACAAAATTTATCTCAGGGATTGTCGATCCGAACGATGGCTCTTTTATTATTCTTAAAAGTTTCCTTATTCACTTGTAGATGTTTGGTTCTGTCTCCACCACTTCCTTCCGGATACTTGACGTGAAACAGATCGAATTCCAGGGAGCCGTCACCCAGTTTGAACTCCTTTTTGGATTGTTGCACGGCTCCAATCTTGTCTAAAATGAGGTCTTCGTTTAAATGTTTACATTGCGTAAACTCGTACCAAATAGCTGAATCCAAAGAATTGTGGCGTAGGTTCAGGCGGAGGTAATCGTTAGGATAACACTGCATTTTAGATTTGACTGTTTGTAACATGTCTCTGAATAATCGCCGAACGAATCCTGTGTTTTCCTCTTCTGGAAATTCTTTGAAATGGACGATATATTTATTTTCATGCGCTTTAAATTTTGTAGAGCGCATTTCTCTATGCAGCCTCATCTGATAATACTTGGAAATGACCTTGGGTTTGGGTGGTGAATGGATAAGTGATTTTGGTCTCTCATGCGTCCTAGTCCTTTGTTGCTGTTGTCGTTGTTTTTCTAGTTGAGCTCTTCTCTGTAATAGTCTGGCATTTCTTTTCCTAAGCTCTAATTCTCGATCTTTATTTTCATGAAGAATTTGATCTAATTCTTTCTCCCGTAGTTGTCGTTGTCGATGTTGTTCTTGTAGAGCTCTTCTCTGTAATATTTTGGCATTTTTTTCCCGGAGTTTTAATTCTGGTTCTCTTTTCTCATAAAGAATTCGATCTAATTCTCTCTCCCTTCTTTTCCATTTTAATAATCGTTGAGCATGTAACTGTTTTTCTCTAGTAGAATCCATGCCCCCGGAGGGAGCTGGCTCTGACTGTAAAATGAGCCGAAAGTCGGAGAAAACCTGTATTTATACAGTGGATGACGTCACATTGCATAGGTAAGCTCGCTGACTAGACGTACACAGTACGATCAAAACGTAAGTCTATCGTATTTTTGCACACGATCCTAAACAAACCCATGCTATATAATCCAGCGCTGAACATTGACGATCATTCTGCGTGAGCACTTGGAATTCGACACAGGTAAAATGGAGCAGACAAAAAATATGACAGAGGAAAATACAAAGGAGACCGTAGCAGAAACACAGGATCTTTTAGACCTAGATGAAAGAAGTTTGATGTGCCTTATCCTAAATAAAAAGAAAGAAGTGCTGAAAGAGATTCGTGATCTAGGAAGGGAGATAGACCAGTTAGAGAAAGAAGTGCTGACAGAGATTAGTGATTTAGAAAGGGAGATAGACCAGTTAGAGAAAGAAGTGCTGACAGAGATTGCCAGTATCAGGAAGGGAATAAAAGAAGTGCTGAAAGAGATCCAGCCAGAACCCATAAGAGGAAAAATCTTTATGTATTTTGAATCTGAAAAAAGTGTGACAGTCTTTGATTTGTTATTGTTTTAGAAAATCCAGTTCAGAACTGAAGTGCTGACAGAGATTAGACTGTGAATGAAATCGTGAGATAATCACATTCTTGAATCGCTGCCAAAATGATTTAGTAACAGCAGTTAGAGAAAGAAGTGTGAATAGACCAGTAGAGAAAGAAGCCACAGAGATAGTGATAGTGTAAACACCGTATTTAGAGCTATATACTGACCCCCTAGCCCCCTAGGGTTAGGGTTAGGGCTGTACTGAGTTGAACCCCCTATCCCCCCAGACCCCTAAATCTGCACTCTCTTGACCCCCCTATCCCCCCAGGGCCAAAAGTGCACTCCCTTGAACCCATCCCCCAGCCCCAAAAGTGCACTCTGACCTCCCTATCCCCCCCCCGCCCAAAAAGTGCACTCAGTTGACCTCGCCATCTAGGCCTGTTATACTACTCCTATTGTTATCTGTTTTTGTCCGTCGTCGTCCGTCGTGCGTCGTGTGTTAACATTTAAACATTTTCAGCTTCTTCTCTGAAACCACTTAACCAATTTCAACCAAATTTGGCATATAGCATCTATCACAAAAATTGTGAATCGTGTTCCCTGCCCCCCTGGGGCCTGGGGGTGGGGCAAAAACCACTAAAATTAGTGCAATCTTTAAAAATCTTCTTCTTTACTCCCGGACATCAAGCAGTCAAACTGTTGGTATGATTGTAATCAGCATTGAGTCCTCTACCAAAATTGTGAAATTCATGGCCCCAGGGTCAGGGATTATGGTGTTAGGGCGGGGCTCTATTGATTATGTAGTGAAAATGCATTAATTCTTTGAAAATCTTCTTCTCTGTTCCTGAGTATTAAATAAACTAATTAAGTTCATAGTTATGATGAGCAAGAGTGCCTCTACCAAAATAGTGAAATTCATGGCCCCAGGGTCAGGGGTTCTGGTGTTAGGATGCGGCTCTATAATGATTATATGGTGAAAATACATTTTATACATGAAAATCTTTTTCTCTACTCCTGGGTAATAAGCAGAATGAACTATTTACATAGTTATGATGGGATGGGCTCTTCTTCCAGAATTGTGAATTTCAAGGCCCTGGGGGGGGGGGGGGGGCTCTACGTATATAATGAAAATGAATTGTTTGAAATCTGCTCCTTGGTATTAATCAAACATTTTTGATAAGCAAGTGTGCCTTCTCAAAAATTGTGCAATGTGTAGACCAAATGTGTGGCATAGGAGCACTCCTGATTATTGCTGAATATTAATTAGTGACATATTTTTTGTTCTCCTACCCTGCTTATCCATTATAGTAAACAAACTAAACAACTGCTAAGTGTACAGGGGTTTAAAAATCGGACAAGTTCTTTAAGCGCGCTATTTCCATCAACCAGTCAAACTTTCCCGATAAAATCTTAACCTTTTTTCCAATTAATATACAAGAATTTGTTGCTCTCCGATGATTATTGAAAAATATACAGCTTTTTTATTTTGATAAAACTTGCTTCACGGAGCATGGGATTTTGACAAGTTTACATCAGAAGGAATCTTTATTAAAATTAAAAAGTCCACAATTGTAGCGCAAAGAGATCATGATATTTTACCTGTCGCTAAAGCATGCAGGAAACGTCATGGGAGAAATTTTAAACTAAATTGGAGGGTATAAGACTGTTTTATAGCCGTTTATAAATGATCAACGCGTAAAAACACATCCAAAAATCGGAACGTCATTGAGCCCCATGGAGCACTGCACTACGGAAAATTATGTGTGCAGACAGGAAAATGTCCAAAAAGAGATTAAAATGTTTTTGATGCTGCCGGGAATTTCCTACACATACAAAGAACAAGTTTTGAAATTGTTGTAGCTTCATAAGAATGGTAATAACATTTAAATTATTAACTTCATTGCTACTTCAATACCCCTTTATCGCATGTACGTTACGTTTCCATAATTGATCGATTAATTGCATATACTTTTTTTATTTTTTAAGATCTCAATAAAATCCTTATCAATACAAAAGATATTATATTAGAAAATTAACGTTTTGATAAAAATATTCATTTTTAGAAAAAAAGATAAGAGAAATCTAAAGAAATGAAAGATTTATAGAACTGCGACAAACCTTAACGGGTTGAAATGTTGTCACGTCGCTTACGTCAAGTGGTTGCTGTGAATCCCATGACCCCATAGTAAAAATAGTTGCAAAATTTCAAGATTTTATTATGTGGACCCGATTTTTTACATACCAATACACAAAATGTAGGAATTTATTCAGACATAGGTCATACTTCACAGTACACAATAGATTTTCCGTAATTCAATGTGTCCTCGAACTTTTCTAACAACCCTCGTATAATTATAATTAGCATTGGTGCCTCTTTCAAAATTGTGAATGCCATAGCATCTAGCTTAAAACATGAACCAAATTCAATCATTTGAAAGTTGTTGCATGATGCTCAGGTGACCTATAATGCCCATGGGCCTCTTGTTACCATACAAGCAAATACCCATGATTGTGATTTCCCGCTTTCGGTATCTTAGTAGATGCAGTAGTTGGGGTCCCATTATTTGTTGCATATTGTTTATAATATGAACGCCCTGTTACATCTCATTCAAAAGTAATCATTAAAATTGATTGTTTTTAAAATTAGGTTAAATTAAACATCAAGTCTATGTCAAAAATCATAGCATGTTCTGAAATATCTTGTCACGTTTAATACACGTCAAATATGAAAACCCTAGGCCTATCTATTTTCAATCAATAGCTATAAGGAATTATAACATTTTTGAAAAGTATGTCAAGGTCACAGGGTCAAAAATCAGATTAAATTTGGAAAGGTCTTGTCACAGGTAAATTGAATGTACATGTGAAATATGAAAGCCCTCTCTGTTAAGCCCCACCAAGGTTAAAGATTTTGTGAGAGGCAGACTGACAGACGAATGAGATTTAATGTTCCTTCTCATTTTCGATAGCTTGGGGGCAATAAAAAAAACATTATCAAAAGTTTAAACCTTAGAAACATTATTATGAACCACACTGTATAGAATACAAAATTTTCGGTTGTGTAGAATACGTAAGTTTCATTGTTTACTCCCGGAAAAGTCATATTAATTCGGACCATGTGAAAAATTGACAGAGCGAAAAAGTTTCTTGACTTGTGAATTATAGAGTGAATGGATATTGTAAAGTTTTTTTTACACAGTGTAAATTTTCTTTGTTGATATGAAATATCTGAAAAGAAAAAACAAAACAAAAGCCCATGGGCCTTATAATTCACATGAGTATCATGTAACAACTTTACAACAATTGAATTTGAAACCTGTTTTAAACCAGAGGCCATGCAATTCACAATTTTGAAAGAGACACCATTGCTTATCATAACTATACCTTTAGAATGCTTACTTTGGTTACTTAATACCCAGAGGTAGATCATAGTAACAAAGAGAAAATAAATGCATTTCCACTTTATCAGTTGTGCACTCCATCCCACAGGAACCACTGACCCTGGGGCCAC